TGTATATGTTATGAGTCTGAGCCCCAGCCGATGTGTCATAGTAAAGGGAACCGTGCCTTTAATTACATCCAAGCAAGACTGCACAGTCATCTCCAAACCAGGAGTAGCAAAGAGTTTACTAGCATACTGCCGCAGACTATGCATGGTGCCTGTCCACTTGCTATGCTTGAGCTTGTCAAGCTTGAGTCAAGCTTTGGCTGCAGCATGCGGATCAACATATTGCTTGATCAAAAGCTCTTCGAGTGTGGCTACAGGCGTAGCCTTCAGCCATTTGTTCAGGTCTATTTTTTTATAGCCCGACTGTACAACTTGGACTTCTAAGGAGCCCTTCACGGCGCGTTCCACATTGGTCTCTAGGACCGACGACTGAGTAATCGAGACTGTCACCAGCACATCAAAGTAGGATCGCATAGAGCTGATCCAGGATTCAATGTCATCCTTTCCGTCGTATTTAGAAGGAATCTGTGCCGCCTTTCTATCCATGTAAGGAAAGTTGCAGCTAGGACCAGCGGTTGCTGGGTCTGATTTCAAGGGCTGCAACAGTTCCAGAATGCCTTGCACTGCCACTTGCCACTGCAGCAGCGGCACCAACAACGGGATTTGGACCTGCTGCAGATCCGGATAGGTTGTTGACCACACTCAAAGAAGAAGAAGAAGAAGAAGAAGAAGAAGATACAGTTAGAGGGGCAAAAACGGACTGCCACGCAACACTAGAAGCAGGGTAAACAGGTGGAAGGACACCTTGGGCTGGCTGAATGTTAGCAAAATGTTGTAGCTGGTCACGGTGCTGTTGCGCCATCAGGGCCATATCCTCGCGCAAGTTCTTGAGTTCATCAAACACTTTGGCAAGTTGGCCTGTATGGTCTTCAACATCCCGGACCTCTACTAAAGCCCTGAGAAGGGGGACCGTCTTCTCTTCCACCTCAACATCAGTTAAGGCGGGCATAATACTGAAGACGACTTCATGAGCCTTTACTTTGTCTCCCCTCTCCTTTTTCTCCTCCTCTTCCCTCTTCAATGCTTTTTCATAAAAGAACTGGTACTGCGCTTTTTCTGCCTCAGGGGCAGCGTCCATTTGCAACTTCCATTCTGCAGCAGATGCCATGATGGAGGACTAAGATGTCAATAAGTCTCTCAAGAGAGGTTCGTACTTCCCCACACTTCTGGGACGAACACTCCTCTTCCCTCTCCTCACCCCCTCAGGAGCAACACTAAGAAGCTTCTCTCTTCTCTCTCTCTCATTTGCGATCGTGTAGACGTAGGCATTTAACGAACCCAATGAAAGAAACAGCTTGAAAGAAATCAGAAGAGAAGGTAGAACTCCTAGCCGGAGCGACAATTCATTTGGACTGGAGAGCAGTCAAAACAACAAAAGACAAAGATCAGAGAGATCTGATTCCGCCACACAGTCTGGTCCGACTACGTATGAGGTCCTCTCAAGCCTAGCCGGACTCAGCTCCGTGAAGGCACAACAAATCAAATTCAAAGTGTACTACGTAATGCAAGAGAGAATTGAGTGGTGTCCGAGGTACGAGTCAGGCGGCGGATCGTGTGGTAAAGTCCTTTAAAACGTTTCAGCTGAGATACCCTCACCAGCGAGTGTCCTAGTCCGAAAGCATGAACTCCGAGTCCCAATCAGATAGAGCAAAGTAACTGACGTCAACAAATTTGGGCTTGAGGGGCGCTTCTTGTTTGGGACTGGCCCCACTGAGTCCCAAATGGTCCCAGTGGAGTCAGAACCGGGTCCCAACCAACAAGAGTTCCACAAAGACCTACTTTTTGCCCCTACCGAATTGAAAAACGAAATTTAGCCCCAGAAGGAACTACAGACTACAGCCGTTCAGGATGAAATAAACAAAGCACTGTAGAAAGATATAGCATGGCACGCAAGATACTCCATTCATTCACTCGTCAAGCGAGTAAGCAGTTCACACACCTCACACACGATCAAGACTATAGAGGATGGAAGAAGAACCCAGAATACCCCAGCAGCCAGTCAATTCCATGCACACACACATGGGCACCTTGGCGACACGACACTTACCTGAGTGGCCAGGCTCTTGAGATGAAAGAAACTCACCCCCCTCTCACATAGTCCTCCCAACCCAATTAGCATCATCTACACTAGTGTCCTATCATCTAGGAGGGTCAACATCTACCCCGATGTACAACACCGGATTCCCCGTTGATGTCGAAGATCAATGTAGCAACTTGCAGTCCGAAGGTGCAGATATGGCTGCCACCCTCAAGCTTGCCTAACTTGAGGGGAGCCCTGAAGTCACTCCGCGTCTTCCTTGAGGTCCAGATTCTTGTTGTAGGTGCCCTTCACTGTTGCCTCTCTCCAATTGCATCATTAAGTCCCACCTTGTGTCTCGCCACCACTAACATGCACTCAAGCTACCTGGCCGGGTCTAATGTCGACCCTACACGGCCCTGCCAGGTGGGAGCAGCTTCCCTTAACCACGCTGCCCCTCTTAACCCTAACTTCCAACCCTAACCCTAAGTGGTTAGCCCTTACCACTTAGATTAGGCTTATGGCGGCAAAGTCAACTCTCGCCAGCAACTGAAGAATGAGGCCGGGCTCTTCCCTCGGCCTCTTGATGTAGAGGCCTGCTTGCCTCCTGGGCGGTGACTTCCAGGCTGCTCAGCCTCTCAAGCAACCGGTACCTCCTCCCTTTCGGAGGGAAACATCATTGCAGACTCTGATATTGCCCGCACAGGCTCTAGACGCAGACTGGATGGACTGGTACCGGCCTAGACCAAGCGTACCGCTACTGGGCCTCTAAGAATGCCAAGTTTGTCTTCTTCTGCTCGGCCTCGAGTACCCGGCACATCCACTGCTACTGGGTGTGGTACCGGCCTACCTGCTACTTGAGTGTTTTTCCGCTGCTCTAAGTGTCGCGGGCCTCTGGCTCCGCCACTTGAATGTTTTCCCCTGCCGCAACCCTCAATGCCACGGCCATAGGTAAGAACCGGCCCTATGGGCCTGCCAAACAAGCAAGTACCCTTGCGGGTCACACACACACTCATACCGACAAGCACTCAGGCAGGCACGCAGGTCAACAAGCACGCATACATACAAACTTAGAAAACTCAGCAGAATGCGGAAATCTCATCAAGGCATCCACTCCATCGGCAGAAATTCAGAAATCAGCAGTGTTCTCAGCCTGTGTTATGGTGGGTCATTACAAGCCTATGATCCCTCGTGCAATCAATGGAGGTCACGAACTAGACAGAATTACAAGTCACACTGGTAAGGGACGTAACAGGCAATACCAGGTTCTCTTCATCTATCACATGTTGGATGATCTCTACTGGATCTCAAAGAAAGAGCTGCTGCGGAGCGCACCTCGTGATGTCAAAGCATATGAACGACAGGTAGTTTCCAATGCTGTTCGACAAATCTCTGCGAAACTCGCTGCTATTGCGTATACACGGAATCTCTTCGCTATGTTTGCTTATGATGTGTTTCTCTGGGACTCGGATTGAGTTACTCGCTCGAGGGGACCTCGCTCTTGAAGGGGGGGGGTAGTGTAAGACCTGCCAAAACATGGTCCGAGAGCACAGCTCATTTCTCAGTTTTGCGGCTAGAATGAATGCCTTGCCGAAATTCCCACTTTCTGCTTAGTTTTCTAAGTCTGTGTGTGTGGGTGCTTGCTGGTACCGCACCCAGGCCCTTGGTTGGATACACTCACTTGTTGTGCGCAGGTACCCAGACAGCATCAAGGCCACAGGGAGTTCGGTTTCAGGCCTATCTGGGCCGTCATTTGCCTTGAGATCTCGACGGCCGAGGGAAGCAGCAACCGGGGTCCAGACCCCGCATCAACGCTACATAAGCCTGGACCTCCTGGCTTGGAGAACATTCTGTCTTGCGTCAATGCTGACTTACACGCGTTGACTACGACGCTAGTGCGACGCTGCGACACTGGCTGGACGCTGGCTTTGCGCTGGCACTTGGGCGACTACGGCGACGCGCTGCTGGCTCGGCATGGTGGCTGGCTGGCAATTGTCTTCTGGGCATGCTGACGTGGCAGCTGCCACGTGCTGCCGCTGACGTGGCCGCTGCCAYGTGTACTATTGCTGACGTGGCGAGGCTACGAGACTGGCATTGCTGTTCTGATTCATCGTCACTCGGGAGGAGATCATGACTGTGGGGCGATAGTGGATACGTACCTGGTTATCTTGATGTCGACATTGCTCCAGCTCGCTGATGAGGACTGATTGACATGCCAAGTGGCACATTCTGATAGAACTTCAGAAGCGTGTTCAGATTATTGATTACTGAGGTGGTTGTCGAGGAGGTAGCCCGAAGTAGCAGTGGGCATTGTCTTCTACTCCTCTCCTATGTCTATTCTCCCTCCTCTCTTCTTCGTCTGTGTATGCTCCCCATCTCATTCTATCTGGACACGATTATGATAATTGACAATCATCAACAGGTTGATATTCATTTGGGCTTGCATTGTTGACAAGTGTCTTCACGATCTGGGTTCATTGCACAGCCGACTTATAAGGGGCAAAAAAAACAACAACAAGGGATTGAATTGGATTCTGAGTTTCCGACTTAAAATGAAAAGTCAGCGACACAAAAAGAGGAAAATGATGTTATATGGTATACCCTGGGAATACCAGCCCAGGCGCCCATGCTGCCTCTGGCCGCTCGGATGGCCCGGGACAGGTCCTGGACAGCCCCAGCTAAAAGTCAAGACGTGAAAAAATGTCCAAATAAAAAAATCTGGAGAACGTATATGTTGTGGAGAATTGCAGTATGAGTACAAACAACTTTTCTTTCTTTTTTTGGGGGGGTGCAAAAACAGTTGATTATGTCATCTGATATGCCCAGAATACTGGCACTTGACGTTTCCCAGGGGGATAATTGCTTGAGGCGAAGACTATTTTGATCTTCCGATTTCTCATCTGGACAATTGCTTGAGGCGCAGGCTATTTTGATTTTCCAATTTCTCTGTTGTCTTTCTGAATGAGTTTGTTGCACGTCTGTGCAGGATGGCTGCTCACAACTACTTCAATGGAACATTCCCAATGAATGCAGAAAGTTCAGGAACCCGATCGTAAGTCAGTTCTGTATTGACTGCACACTGTTCCCGGTCTCCTGTTCGACTGTGTGTGTGTGTGTGTGTGTGTGTGTGTGTGTGTGTGTCTTAGCTCATGCTAGTGCTGTTAGTCATGAAATGTAGAAGGTGGCACATGTGAGCCGCCACATGCTTGTATGTGTGACTGTGTGTCTGATGGAGAGGAGGGAAAGGGAGAAAGTGAGGGGTGAGAGAGAGAGAGAGAGAGAGAGAGAGAGAGAGAGAGAGAGAGAGAGAGAGAGAGAGTCAAATCAAAATTTTATTGAAGGGTGACATCCATTAAAACTGGAGCGATACATGGATATTGAAACTGAGGGACATTTTTTCAGCGCTTGCGCCACTGGTTAGCGCCACCGCTCTGCGCTAGTATGCAGCCACCCTCCGCGAACCCAGGGCCCCACCGCCTCGGCTCTCTTTCGCAAAGCGCTCGGCCAACGGAGCGCGGGAACCCCAGCACGCGATTTTTCGATTTGGAGCACGAGAAGGAATTTCACGCCAGGCCTAGGACGCGATAGCCATCATTACCCAGCACACCGGGAGTCGAGTGAAGTGGAAACAACAAGAGGACAGGAATAGCAAAGAGAAAAAGAGAACAAAGGAGACAAAAGGCAGCAAAGAAGAAGACATCCACAACAAGGAGTCAGCTGCAAAAGGAATAGTGGGGAAGAGAAGCCAACACATGGGAAGGGAAGAGGAAAGGTGGAGTATACAGAGGGTAAGAGGAGTGAAGCCAATGAGCTAGCCGATGCTGGAACACGCTGACGGGAATAGTGGACAGGAGAGTAGGACAAAGAGACAAAGGCAAGGCTAATTCAGGAGAGTAAAGAGGGAGTGAAGTGTCGAAAGGTGAGGAAGGGACGAAATAACTATTTTGGGGAAGAGCTGAGGCAAGGCCAAAATCATTTGCAAGTATTTCCCGCCTCCTTCGAGTCACCATTCTTACATTTTCGAGGAAAGAATTACTCCGAACAAGGAAGCGGGCACAGGAAAGGGGAGACGAGGTACATAGCTACATGCAAAGGACAAAGGAAGAGGACGAGAAGATTTTGTCACGGGCTAAGGACAAAGAAGGAACAGTGAAGATCCGAGAACACTGGACCGCGCCATCATGATCTAAGCGTATACCTCCAAAGGGTAAACGGACGAGCATCACAGCGCCTGAAACCACTGAAACTGGAGACACTGCCCTCTTTTGGCTCGTAAGTTCTCGTCGCCCTACCCACGACTCCAGAGGAAACCCCCAAGATTGCATCAAGCCAAGAGCAGACACAAGAGGAGTACCACAGCGAGAATCGCCGTTTCTTCGACCAACGAATCTCAAAGCTTTGATCCTGAGAGCTGCTGTATAGCCGATAAGACACAACTGTCCTCCTTTTTAGTCCACCGCAATCTGCAGTAGCGCGACAGAGCTCACCACGATAGAACACCCCACCTCCTCCTCTCATCAGAACACTCCCCAACCTGCGCACTTCCAACCTCACGTCACCCCCACCCTCCAACATTACTCCTCATCTCCTTCGACTGGCCCCACTTCCCCCACAAACAAGATTCCCAACAACCACACAAAACCCCTACCCATCTCTCATCTCGCACCGGCTCTCCACCATCTCCCCCAGCCCCTCCCCCACACCCCTTTCATATAATCACTCCTACCTCCCACCAAACCTATTCCAGTTCCCCAGAGAAGAACCTCCCACGCCCCCTATCTCCATAAGCTCCCAACCTGCCCAACGTCACCCCCCCCTCCATCCTCCAACATCAGCGCGTCCCTTACTCCATTTCTAGCCCAACTTTCACCTCACCCCACCACTACCCCCCATGATAGATCTGGTAGCATGCCGGACCCCCTCCGAGCAAAGCTAGGCTGCGCGTACTCTACCCCCGCCCTATTTCTCCACCACTCATTCTCTCGTCAATACACTCCCCAACCCTTGCACATCCAATCCCACGCCACAAACACTGCTCTCCCCATCTCCCTCGACTTCACTCACAGCCCCCACAAACACTTCCGAACAAACACACATACCCTCGACTAGTTGCTCTCCCCATACCGGCTCCCTCCCACCGCCGCCCGACCCTCCTCCCCCACCCCTCCTATACCACCCCACAAGCAGCACTCGCACCACTCGATTAACCCACAGCTGCCCGCCAGCAACGGAACTCGCACGCCCCTATCACCAAATCTCGCCCGACAGTCGGCGCATCTCCCTTCCCCCCTCCGTCATCCTTCCCGCCTTCGCTCGCCCAACCCCCTTTCACCCTCCCACATCTGATCACGACCAATCAAGTAACGGATCACATTACCCCGAGCACACCAAGACTGTGCGCGCCCTTCTCCCCCCCTCCTTCCCCCCGCTCTTTTTTTCCTTCTCTTCCCCTCCTTCCCACTTTTTCCCACCCCTTCTTTCCCACTCGCCCCTGTTCCCCCCTCCTCCCTCCACGCTTTTGCATCAAAGCATCGATGCGGTTCCCCCTCTTTTAGCCCACCACGCTTCCTTCCAACAACCACAATCCTAAACAAAATTCCACACCTTTCGCTCAGAACTACTAAGTTTAATCATCACCCCATCACAAGTCACACAATTCGCACGCCAGCACACAACATTAAAATCGACAAATCCAGCTCTTGCTCTTTTGCTAATTTCTAAAAAATTATTTCGACTTCTTGCTGCTCTCTAGGTCCAATCTACCAACGACCCTTTGGATAAGCTCTATTAATATTTATTAGTTATTGCAAGGAAAATGAACTATAGCGAATTCCAGAAACCAAGCAGCATCATACACATGAAACCAGATAGTCTTGACCTCGAACCAAAAGCAAAATTGCAACTTGAGTTCTACCAAATAAGAGCACAACAAAACCTCACAAGTGACAATGTTGGTGTCCTAAGAGTAGGACATCTCTGGGATCAGGAGCGGGGAGACTGGATATCCGAACCTAAGTTAAGAGAAAAACTAAGATACTGTCACAAAGTGGGGGAAGCATTGGAGACAATCGTCGTTGCTGTTCCCCTAGATTGGGTGGGCATTCTCAAGAAGGGACCGACGCTGGAAGAAAGCGACTGGGTGGGCATAAAAGACCAGGAGGGAGTAGTGGGAAATGTAGTGGACACACGGCCATCACAAGAAGGGGGGGAGAGATATTAGTCAATCTCTTCCATAGAGCCTCCGATGATAGGCTTATGAGAATGGAAGGAGACAAGGTACAATGGCATAAAAAATCAGAATTACACAGAATCCGGGTCTTAAAAGAAAGGGATGGATGGCTGGCATACAAACCAACCACCCCGATCTCACACCTTGACTTTGATCCGGCAAACTGGACCTGGACACTAACCATAGGTAAAGGAAAACAAGGGCAGCGACAGCTACACACACTGTCAGTCAAATCAGCTTATCGGCTGCTGCGCCCCAAAAGAAACTTAAAAGGCATAGTAGAGGACAGGTGGATGCGACACCTAAATGTGGGAAAAGAGGCCCTTCGCTCAGTAAGATGGTTTAGACTAAGTAGGGCCTCCCCGGCGAAAGTGGCGTCACTACAATGGCAAATTGAACACCGCTGCCTACCCACAAACGACTGGCTGATTGATAGAACAACCCTGGAACAACGAGGGCTAGCCTTGCCGTGGTGCAAACTTTGCTCATCGACCTTTCCACCAAGATGCCGACCAGAAACAATTGAGCATATCTTCCTGTAGTGCCCGGGGTCAGTATGGCTATGGAGATGGTGGGACAGTGAAGTCGAGGGTTAAAGATCTTAGAGCGACACCCCTTAGTGCCAGGCCTTATCAGCCTTAGATGGCGCCCTTCTTTGGAGGGTGAAGAGGTACAGATTAGGGGATCTCACAGTTACTGGTCTCATGGTTTTCAGACAGTATCATTGGCTGTATATGGGACTCTGGACCCGTTTTCCAGCAGGTGACGCTTCCCACCAATAGATGGAGCCTCTCCCCAGGTGTTAGTGGTGTCTGCTCCTATCAGCATCACTAACATCGGTGGAGTTGTCCAAAAAAAA